CATACATATATATATATATATATATATATATATATATAGAAATTATTTCTCTCTAGAATCTCTGCTTTGTGTATCGACGATATAACGTATCGTTCTCCGCGCGCGTTTTACACACGACGGATCTGCGACGCAGGAAGCCGCTGCTTAAATTTAATGTTCAATAGACCGTGCGGCTGGATCCCCGAACCGAGCATTTTAATGTCTCGTTTAATCGGGATGCGACCGAAATGCATTTGAATAGAAATCGGAGCGGCGACGCGTGCCGATCGTATCGTCATCTCTGCCATTATTTCCGTCGTGTCTCGACTTTGATCTTGCATTATGCATGGAAATCGCAGCCGATTGCGCTAGAAAACAGGTAGCCAATTAAAATCGATCGGAATCGTATTCACGAGCAAAAATTAAAATTAATTTAAAAATTAAAATTTTTTTCAATTCTACTTCATATATATTTAATAGTTTGAATAAAATATTTTTAAACAATTAGAAAATATAATTATTTTATTTGTGTAGTATTGAAGAAACGCTTTAAGCTTGTTGACCTCAAAATTGAAGACTTTTTTTTTTATATTACGTAGCGAGGCATACTTATGGCAATCGTACCTGTCGAAGGGGCACGGTGCATTTCCGTGATGCAACAGTCGTCTGCATGTGCAGGAAAGGCTCGACTTCCGAGTATACTGTAAATAAATATCGGCTAGTATATATGTGTGGTCACGCACCGGGAGCTTCGAGTCGCACATCGTGAATGTTAGATAAGTCTAGTGTCACATCCGGATGGAAGATCGTCTGTGATCGATCAAGCTGATCGAGATATGCATCTCCTTCGAAGCTAAGAGTCTGTATTTCCTGCATCTTGTCTTTACTTGAACGTTCGTCGACGTACGAAATACTATCTAAATTATCTGAAACTGAAAGTTGTTTTAAAATAAATTAGCAACATAAAGTGTAACGAAAAATTGATACATTCCTGCGGATTTATATTAATCCCGATAGAGGATCTTGATTTTCTCGCAAGACACATATTTTTCACACATGGATGTAATAACAGAAAACAGCAGAGGATTTCCGCTGAAGAGAATTTACTTCAGAATTTGAAGAACATAATTACTTATTTATTATAATGTCGGAATAAGAATGCATGAATTCCTGCGAGCCTTTATTTCTCACTTATCGAGTTGGGAAAATCAGTCGCGAAAATTCGCACAGTGCTATCTAATCGTTAACAAGATGCCGTTAATGCTTCTCATTATCGTCCGCGCTGCAATCGGCGATACAAATCGGTCGCGACGTCAGTTCACCTTCGACCACCGCGCGACTTGCTCGATTCCACTCGTGGCTTTAGGCAATTTCTCATCCCGAAATAGCACCTGAATTATTTCCCGCATATACGCCCGCTACGGAGACTGTTCTGTATCGATTCCTCGAGTGACATTCGTGCCGCGGGCGCGGGTCGCGCCGCAAAAATCTACGCGCTGTCGATCGTGACATTAACCTTCGCAATATCAAATGCGCACGCGAAGCGGAAATCTAATCGATATCTAAAGCGACAATTTTCTTATCGAATTCACGATAATTACATTTTTTCAGCTCGTGTCACGTGCTCGGGTTCTCTCCGCGCAGTCGGCGGATCTTTTTTTCTGGTTTCCGACACGACACGATAATTAGATAATACTTCCCTTTTCTCTTTTATTTTTACGACCGTGAACTTTTAATTTTGCGATACGTGCCGCTACCGCTGCGGTATTTCTTTCCGGCCGGATAATTCGCATGCGTCTCGTCGGATGGAATCATCGGTATTGTGACCGATAGCGCATAACGCGCACGGGCTCATCGAGGCAGGCCGAGAAATTGTTTATATGGTGGGGGGCCCCGCACCGGGCGAAATTACTCGCTCTGGGAGTCATAATAAGTGCGTTTATGAAACGCTGCTTGGTGAACGTTGTCAGTCGATCGTGTCGCGTCGCGCAATGTTGACATATATATATATAAATCTCGCGGATGCGTCGACTGCCGATTTTCTCGACGGCCGCCTCCACCCAATTTGCGGACGCGCGAACTTTTGGTGCGATGTTAATTATTCCGCCCTAGTTTCGCTCTATTAACCGCTCCGCCGTGTTACACGCTTCGTAACGACGGTGCTCGGAGCCTGCGAGAGTTACACGTGCGATGAAAAGTGTAATCTAAACTACGTGAAACTGAGAAAATAAGTTCGAATTACTTTTACCATTGAACAAGATCCGGAGAAGAAGAAGTCTGAAATTTACATTTCGAAAAGCAAATTCTTTTTTCTAAACATTACAACTTACTGGTTAATAAATTATTTATATCGAACGAAATAATTATATTGCACATTATTTATCTGGTAAAAGGCAAGGAAATTAAAAGATGTTTGAAAATTTGTGGACTGTACTATGAAGTAATTAGAAGTAATTAACTTTTTCAAACAACACACACACACACACACACACACACACACACACACACACACAAGCTGTATTATTCGTAATTTCATGAATTAAACATACCGAGAATTCTTCGTGCAAGTGCGTTTATTCTTGAACCCCGGAGAGCATTCGTTAGGGCAAATATACTCTCGAAGAATAATCCACGACCGCGTTCGAAGACAGCGGGGGAAAAAAAAAGAAGACGGAGTCTTCAGATCCTAAAAGCCTCCCTCCGCTTTTTAAAGATCGGGACAAAGTGCTCCCAAGAATTTCGTGAATTTTCACCGTGGCGTCGTGCGGGCATTGTCCGGGATTAAACCTGCACGTTCCTGAAGAGGTTCCCGACGAATCGATCGCGCGAGTCGTCCACAGTCCTTCGTTGCCTTCGATTCGGTGATACTTCCAGTCTTCTCATATCTTCCGCGGAAAAAAATACGCGATAGCGGGAATGTGTTCAAGTTCGAACGAATTATCATCGAAGTAGTGCGAACGTCGTGCCAATCTTTTCATTGACTTGAACAGTGTAAATGGAACGAGAGCAGGTTACACCGGGATATTGCTAGATGACTACTAGATAATAGTATAATTTGCGAGAATTCATGAGAAAAGCGCAAGAAGTATATAGGAGTTTGAGGAATTATTGTCGAGAATGAGAACGCAGAGACGTTATAACTTGTCAATATAAACATTCATTGTAAATTATGGATACGAAAATAACGACGACATATACTTTAAAAAACATTTTTTATAAAAGATTATTGAACAAAATAAATATAAATAATGTGTTATAGTCAGATAGCAGAAATTATTATTAATAATATCACTTAAATTAGTCTTAATAAATTGTGTCAACTCGAATTTCTTCACCGACTTGTAAAACCAATATGGATTGGTTATCTCTTTGTGTCTGTGGTACGAAGCGCAATCTCAATGATAGAAAGGCCAAGAAAGAAGGAAGACGCAAGAAGAACAAGAAATCCAAAAAGAATTCCAAGCAGAAGGGATCTCATGAAGCGCCGCCATTTATCGTCGATGAGTTTTCGCGCAAATTGCAGGACGAGGAGCCAATCGAGAAGGAAATTGCGGGGAGAGAATGGTTGAACGGAGAAGTTGTTAATTACCTCGATGATAGCGCGAAAAATCAGATCGGGTCAAACGATCAAACTGATCCATCGAAAGTCGACGACTCGCCGATCAATCCCTGGCCTTCTCAAATCGACGACGATCATGAAAGCTTTGAGAAGGATTCGGAAAGAAACGTGGGCGAATCCGAGCCAGGACCACGTGATATCGATTACTACTACGACAATGTGGTTCTACATTCGAGATGTGGCTCGAGTACGGCCGATGAAAACGAGAAGCAATTCAACTACATCTCGGATGAGAAAGAACACGATGAAGAGGCGGATCTGGATGATTCTATTCCAATATCGATGACTTCCGAAGAGCCTGAAGATTTATCCTGGAAATCTGAAGTAAAAAATAAACAGGATTCGGTTTTGAGATCGAGTTTTGATAAAAAATCCGGGGAGAGAATTTCGTCTAGAATTAATTTTTCTAACGAGGAGCGGGGAAAATCGAAGGTGAAAGAATCCTCGAGGAAAGGCTCCAGGAACGTTCTTCCGCCGATCAAAGGGAAATCTCCCATCGAAACTTGCAACTTGAGTAATGAGGAAGCCCACGTGGAAACGAATAAATTTGGTTTTAAGAAAATTGCGGCGTTTTGTGAACGAAATGAAGTTCGACGAAAATTGAACTCGTGCAGCTTCGAGATTCGATCGTTCGAAGATGAAGCGCGAGGTGAAAAGACGACGAGGACTCGGGGTGAAGGGTCCATGATACCCAGACTTGCATCCCCCATGAGGCAGGGAATGGCATCGACCAAAAGCAACAGCGATAAATCGGGGATCATACAAAATGGTATATTGTTGCACATAAAAAATTATGTGCATAAGATATTTAAAAAATAAAAAATTATAGATGTTACATTATTTATCTTAGTTTTAGAAATGAGTGATGATTTTTGAGAATTATTAAATTATTTTTTGAGAGATATTAGCTCCGAATTACATAAAAAGGTGTACTTACTTGACATGAAATAAAATAATAAAAATAATATAATAATAAACAGTAAAATAATTTAATTTAATTTGTAATTTTTATTTAATTTATGTAATATAATTTATTATTATACATGATGTTTATGTTTAATTCATCTTCTGTAAAAGAAGTCGCGCTTTGTTTAATTTAAAACAACGAATACTCGCAAGTACTGTCGGAATTATTACAACCACATTATATTATTATTATTATTATAGTTCTTATACATTACAATGTATAATTTCTGTTTCAGGTCGCGTTCACTCGGCAGTCGTCTCCGGTGTCAACTTAGAACAGCGCACCGTAACTGTAGAATGGTTCGAGAGAGGAGAAACCAAAGGCAAAGAGGTAAGTGCGTTCATAAAAAATATGAATAATTTGTAATTATTCACAAGCAGTTACAAATTTAAATCTATATTTTTAAATTAAATTTTATTTATTAATCGATATTATTTAAAGAAAAACATAAATAACTTTTACATTGTCAAAAAATAAAATTTTTAACAATACATAAAAAATGTTTATAAGAATCTCTTTATAAAAATAATTTGAAATTGCATTTTCTCATCTTGCATTTATTAAAAATATAGAATTTATTAAAAAATACCACTATGTAGTCAGATCCCACGCATGAGGTTGAATCGTATTTTTATTTGACATTTATGAAAAATGTTGCGCTGCGACCAAAGTTTCTCTCTCGCGATATCACCGCGTTGAACTGCAATATATCAATTTCGCACATTCGTAGATCACGGTTATTTGACTATTTTCAATTCCGCGATGCTTATGCAATGCCACAGGGCTAACGTGCAGACCGCTAATGGGGGCGCGAATCTATTTCCGACAGGCTTGCAGGTCCGCAAATTTACTGTCAGTCAGGTCGGTCCGTTCAAACGTGACTTTTGCAAAAAATCGCAATACGTGGACGAGAGACTCGCGAGAATGTTAATTTTCAATCATAAACAAAATATTGTACGATCTACTCAATGCAGATGCAATTATCTACGTTGCAATTTTACATTTTGTGGATAAATTTTAAATGTCGAATTTAGAAGAATATCTGTTAATTATTCATCTTGCGAGGAATTTTTCTAATTCTTAATTTTTTTCTTTATAATTTTATGTTCTACGGAATTGTAACATTTATACATAATGTATCGACAAAGTTTTATTCCACGCCGAAAGGTAATTTGTCAATTGTAAAATTTTATATAAATATATTGCCCTTATTCGAATAATTTCTGCTCTACTTTCACTATATCGTATAATCTATCTACTTTATTGGTCCCAAGGGAAATCAAACGATGAGTAATCTCTAGTAATGCTGTTTCCGCTTTGCAATTGGTATCAATCGCGCATTAAATAATTAAAAAATATTGACAATTTAAAATTATTTGAATATTTATATTTTTTTCTTTAGGTGGAGATCGATGCGATTCTCGCCCTGAATCGCGATTTGAACCAAAAGATGATGGGACCACCGCCACAGATGATGAACAACCATATGTTGGCATCCTCGAGAGCAAGGGTACGTATAGTTAAATTGATTTTTTTTTTGTAAACGCATAACCAAAACGTCATAGTGCATTTTGGACCCTCAAGGAATTCTCAAGTGTACCTAGTCAATATCCATAGAGTCAATCGTCAGTCAAACTTCATAAGCAAAAATCATCATTCTTCCACATTTATCTTAGACCTTGAAAATTTCCTAAAAATGATATCAGCACACCTGAAAGAAATATTAGAAAAATAATGGAGATTAAAATCTTTATTTTCTTAATTCGTTTAATCATCTTTACAGACAGATTTTAGATGCGGGAATTTTTGTCGAAAATACTTATCCAATCTGACAAATCGGCGGAATGATAATCAGATAGGCGAACTTGCGAAAGTCTCGTGATTATTCAGACGTCGATCCGTGAATGACGGCGCGCGCGTCACTTTGCAGGTCGAAGTAAACGCGGGCCTTAAACGCGTTCGCATAAATTCGCGGTCGATCATCGACTGCCTCGGCGAATTCTGTTTACCGGTTGCCCAGGCTACGTAAAATAACCTCGCTCCTAATATGGAAAGAATAATCCGATCCCGCGTCTCGTAGCGTTTACATCGCGGTAGGCATGTTCCAGTACCTGTACGACTTTCAGGTAGGACTTCCCCGTCACTTGTAAATCGGTCCACCGCAAGCCTTCGAATCTGACGTGACACGAAATCCAATCTCGTCAGGTCTCCGGTCTTTCTCGTCACGTGGAGACCGCGTCTATGATAATAAACAATTGCGACTTCCGCTTCCGTGCAAAATTTTCATCGTGTGTTTGTTGCTTTCTTCATTCTCGTAGAATTAGGCTTTTTGAATCCTGAATTTGTTTTAAACGGTCCGTAGATGTTTGAGTGTGTAGACGACTTTTTTCTTAGTAGTAACACCTGCGCTAACACACATGCGGGTAATAATGCAAGATAAATTAAATATTTAAGCCGCACAAGGAGTTCCGAAAATCGCGCATTTTAATAGAATGCGCTATATGAGGATCAAAAATTGGAAAATTTATCTTGAATTTGACTTTTGAAATAATTTGCATTTATATTTTTATATGCAGAAGGATATTTATACATTTGAAATATTAAGAAAATTATTATAACATATTTGGATCGTTATTTTTCTAAAAATAAATTTAAAAAAAAAAACGACGATGATGAGACTCAAAAATTTGAGAAGCCCGGGATTTAAGCGATTCAAGGATTTAAAAACTCAATTTTAAAACTCAATTGTAAATTTTCTTAAGAAATTCTCAAGTCTGGTAGATATATATGTCGATCGACGAAAGTCAAAGTCTCCAGCTAGATTCCCGCTACTAACATGGTAACATCTTTTTTTTCCTCCATGGACGCTGCTCATAATCACGGACCTCGTGTCGACGATGGACCAACAACGACCATCTACCCCCGGGCAAAACCGATCGATAACAAACTGATCTCGAATACGAAACTCACGTCGTCTCGGCCGTCGTTCATCCGGCAAAATTGTCGTTTTTCTTGACGACCCTCCACCTCATCGATCCCCTCGGTGACTCCGCCGACCGCGGGTGTAATCGTCCGATTGATTTACGTAAAACTGGCCGTGACCGCGATCTGCGGTAAGGAACCGGACTCCTCGGCTGAGGAGGACGAGGGGGTCGACGAGTCGGAGAACCAAGAGGAGGGCTCTCTCGGACGCCATGGTGGTCACACCACGAGAAACGGCCTCGCATCCGCAACGCTTCCTGTACGAGTCACATCTCGTCTCTCGGTAACGCGCACCACCTTTCCCTCCCCCCCCCATCACCGCAGCAATTACAACCGCAACACACTACAAACCCCTTCACAGCAGCGGCAGTCCCTCGTGGTCGTCGAACTGACCTTAGCATCTTCGTGATTACTCGCTTTTACGATACCGCTTTTACGACATCTCATCGTGATTTTTATTACTCGAATTATTTCTTGGGAGATAGTGCACTAAAAAAATTGTATTAGAGATACGAGGTGTAGAACAAGAACTTGATTTTTTTTTAATTATTTAATCTCATAAAAAGAATGATTATCTTATAAACCACCGAAACAGCATGTAATAATTATATCTTTTTATATAATTGAATGATGTATTTCATAATTCATAATTTCATGGTATTTCATGGTATTTCATGGTATTTCATAGTATTTTATGTAATATAAAGGTTTGCACATGAATTGGGAAAATATCATGAAATATGTTAGCTCATGACATGAAGCTTTAATTTAGAGAAGATGTATGCGAAGTTAAAATTATTGGAAATGTAATTTAACCATTAAACTTTTATCTTTTACCTTTTTCATCTAAGTGTCGATCCACAATAGGTGATTTAAGCTTTAAAAAGTAAGAAATTGATCAATTATAATCGAATATGGAAAGAATACTCGACTATGATTAGTCAATTTCTTACGGCTTAAAGATTAAATACTTATTGTGGACCGACACTAATTGATTGCAACGCTGACTATTCACCGTTATTATGCAGCTCGCAATTGTTTAAAGTTAGCATTAGCTCTTCTTAAATAAGAATTATCTTGAAATACTTTTCATTTACATAGCTTCAATTTTAGAATCTTTAGAATTAGCTTCAATTTTAAAATTTGCATCCTTCTAGTTGTTTGATCTGCATGAATAGATCTAGATCTCGGTCAAAAGCTTTTCGGTCGGCACGGAAGATGCTAAAAGAACGTTCGTAGCCTCGCACCTCCTCTAGCTCACGAGCCAAAAACGTCGGCTTTTCCCAAATGCCCATTCACCAGAGCACGCTAGTCGCTATTTCTTTTCACCCCCTTTTGCACTCGCTTAAAAACGATGGGGTCTCGACAGGTGGATATCCCGGCGAATGGCTGGCTGGCAGATTTAGCCAGCGAGCATTCGCCACACGAGCTTTCATTTTCGCGTTCGCGGAAATGTTCAGTTTTGGAAGTAAAACGGAAATAAAAGATCGTGCAGCGCGACTGCCCTACAGACCCGAGACTGGGTCAAAAACCGTGTCATTATGTACGATCGATGTGGCAAAAGCAACGTGCGGGCGTGATTAACGGTCGATCGATGTAAATCGTTTCTTATCTTTCCTGAACGTGTCTGACGGCAACGTGTCAGCAACAAGATGTATCATACACCCGGCTTCGAAGGAAGCACCATTTTATTTTTTTTCATTTGCAGCACTTTTTTACTACTCGTAAGTCAAACGGCAAACACCGCTCTTCGTTGCACGAAGAAGGCAACCGTCATCCTCTTTAATCAAATGACTGTTTTCTTATTTTCAGCACTCCACCAGGCCGTCTATTCCAGTGAAAGGTATGTCAGCAAAATGAGGATTCACCTCGATCCCTATCTCATTACACTTTTGTTAAAATAACCGACATGAAATTATCAGTGGAATCCCGATTATATTATTACAGTCGCAAAGTCCACGTGCACGAAACGGACGACGTCTGTGTTTTCTCCGGAAAAATTTCCATCGCGAAATAAATTTCCCAGCTATTATTAAATGCGTTTTTTAATTAAATTAACGGATATGAAGATCTAAAACGAAACCTAACTAATCGCATGCGCATACACTTCGCTGATCGCTTTTCCGTTCTTTGAAAAGAGAGATGAGCGAACGAATTTCAACGGCTTCCTGATACACGCGTCGATAAGCGTGTGGATGACGACCGAACTTTCGCGTTCGATAAGTCAATTTCGTGGCCGGACATCGCACCGGGTCGAGCGCGAACGCGCGCGCGCGCGTTCGTCGTCGTCTTTTCACCCAGATAAAGCCGAGTAAGCGACGAGGCCTCGCTTGCACATGTGTACGGCCGAGCCGTGACTATCGATATTCGTGTGCAGGCAGCACAAGGGCAAGGACCTCGACGGGCACCTACAGTACGACCAGCCGAAGGGGTGTACCTTCGGTGCCAACCCTCGAGCACTGTTCGATCTACCCCGCCGGCAGTGCGCACCACCCGGCGGAACGTTGCTCTCGTTCGTGGCTCGCGACGGACGAACGTTTTTCGATTTTTTTTAGGAGATCAAAGAGATCTCGCGTATGCCGTGTCGACCATGAGATTCGACCCGCTCGCCTATTGTTTCCGGAGGAAAAATAAAATCCGCGACAACGAAAACACGGACGTCGCCACCGATGACCGGGTCCTGACGCTTCGAATCGAGGAAGACGATACCGGTAATGCGTGGATCTCGTGCGGGAGATTCTGTGGTATCTCTGCTGATAATCGTGCGAAAACGTGTGCCTAATTGCCTAATTACAATTCTCCTCTCGCAATAAACGTAAGAGTGAATCAAGAAATGTAAAAGTGGTTTCACACACTTTGAGTCCGAGAGTCAGCGGAGATTAAAACTTTGAAAATCTTTTGACATTTTCTTCAGCAAAATCTATCAAGAACATGTAATTTTATTTTTACGTTTGTGTAGTGATTAGGAAACAAATAAATTATCACAGATTTGAAGCGTCAGCGTGAAAAGGACTGCGTGAGCAAGATGAATCACGCGAGATCAGAGATATAATTTGTGTTCTCGCCTGATTTTAATCTTGACGAAATCGATTCGATTCGTTGCGGGTAAGCGGGACACCATTAATCGTCATGCTAATGTTTCAGCGAGTTCGAATAGGCAATTGTCACGACAGACAGGTCGCCCGACTAACATAATGCCGCCAACCACGTCGGTGAACGGTCACAGCGAGTCGGTTTCCGGCCTCACAGGACGCCGGGAGCTGGAAAACATACCGCCGACGCCGACGACGACCGTCACGCAATGCAACTTGATGACTCCGGTGCAGAACAGACAGCAGAAACAGGCGCAGCAGCAGCAACAGCAGCAACAACAGCAGCAGCAACTGCAGCAGCAGCAGCAAGCTCAGGTGGAAAATGGCCGAGGTAGGCGATCCAATGTCGTCAAAGAAGTCGAAAGACTGAAGAAGAACAGGGAAGAAAGGAGGCAGCGGCAAGCGGAATTGAAGGAGGAGAAAGAAGCGCTGATGAATCTGGATCCGGGCAATCCGAATTGGGAATTCCTTGCCATGATAAGGTTGGCTGTTATATTTTCTTTCTACTTAAAATATCTTGTTTAATCTTTAAAGAACGGAGAATCATTATAGTGACACTAAAACAGTAGTAAGAAATACAATTTATATTTTACTTAAGAAAAAGCTATAAGTTTTTAAAAATTCTTTGTCTTTTAAAGGTTGATATTAAGATGCACTAATTAGAATTGTGTATCTGAAATAAATATTGCGTTAATCTTGGAACACTTGTACATTTAATGTTTCATGATAGAGGATATCGCATATTGATGGCAACTGTCACGACAGACAAGTCGCCCGACTAACATAATGCCGCCGATCACGTCGGTGAACGGTCACAGCGAGTCGGTTTCCGGCCTCACAGGACGCCGGGAGCTGAAAAACATACCGGCGACGCCGACGATGACCGTCACGCAATATGTTGTTTATTGACTTATTTGCTTAATTTTGCAGAGAGTACCAGAATAGCATAGAGTTCAGGCCGTTGCGAGAGACCGACGCCGTGGAGGATCATCAGATCACCGTGTGCGTGAGGAAACGGCCTCTCAACAAGAAGGAGCACGCGCGTAAAGAGATCGACGTGATCAGCGTGCCCAGCAAGGATCAGATGGTGGTGCACGAGCCGAAATCCAAAGTTGATCTCACCAAGTATCTTGAGAACCAGATCTTCAGATTCGATTATGCATTTGATGAGACATGTAATAATGAGATAGTTTACAAGTACACGGCCAAGCCATTGGTGCAGACAATCTTCGAGGGTGGCATGGCCACGTGCTTCGCGTATGGCCAAACTGGCAGCGGCAAAACCCATACAATGGGCGGTGATTTCAATGGCAAGACGCAGGACTGCAAGAAGGGCATTTACGCCATGGTTGCCAAAGACGTATTCAAATGTCTGAAATTAGCGAAATATCGGCCCTTGAATTTGGTCATTTCCGCCAGTTTCTTCGAGATTTACTCCGGCAAAGTGTTCGATCTCTTGGCAGACAAGGAAAAACTGAGAGTCTTAGAAGATGGCAAACAGCAGGTTTGTTTTATATTGATATAAAAATTGATTTATCGTTAAAATTCATATTTTAGTCGCTTGTGTTTAATATTACACATTTATTTTTTTCTTTCTTAAACTAATTATTGACAACTATTTATGATTCGGTTTAATTACATCTTAATATTTTGAAATTTGTCTTGTGCTTAAAAATAGGTCCAAATAGTTGGTTTAACAGAGAAGGTTGTGGAGACTTGCGATGAAGTATTAAAGTTGATACAACACGGGAACAGCGCCAGAACAAGCGGTCAAACGAGCGCTAATTCTAATTCTTCGAGATCGCACGCGGTATTCCAAATAATAGCGCGTATCCCAGGTACACATAAGGTGCACGGAAAATTCTCGCTCATCGATCTTGCGGGTAATGAAAGGGGTGCTGACACGTCGTCCGCCAATAGGCAAACTCGTGAGTAAATGCGTAATCAATTCTAAATGACGACTGAAATGGCATTACTGATTATAGTTAATGATCTTTATCTTTCTGACGTAATTAATGTTCTTATTGAAATTTGTAGGAATGGAAGGTGCTGAGATCAATAAATCTCTATTAGCATTAAAAGAATGTATACGTGCGTTAAGTCGTAAAGGTACGCATTTGCCTTTTAGGGCAAGTAAGCTGACTCAAGTGTTGAGGGACAGTTTTATCGGCGAAAAATCAAAAACATGCATGGTAAATTATTTCATAATTTTATTCACTGACAGTTTTTCACTGAATAGGAATATCAAAGAAAAGATTTGCATTCTAACAGTTATTTGTTTACAGATAGCGATGATCAGTCCCGGGATGAGTTCCTGCGAGCATTCCCTGAATACATTGAGATACGCCGATCGAGTGAAGGAATTGGCAGCAACCGATCCCACAGAAATTAAAGCTTCACCGACAGACGATGAACGGGGCATGAAGATCGAGGAACAGGGAAACAACAGCGTATTATCAGATAGTGATTTAGCGCAACTCCGATCTCTCAATGTAAGTGATTTGTTTATATAGTCATTGATGTTTAAACAGATTTCAGAGATTCATAAATGCAGTGAAAACAAAGTGACTATTACTATATAATTTAATATAATATTTTGTACAATTTTTTTCTTCACAGGAAGGTGAACTCTCGCAAGATCTGTACACTTTCCACGAGGCAGTGTCTGCTCTGCAATTGCTCGAAGAAGAAGTGTTGGATACGCACAAACTGGTCATGGATAATACAACTAAATTCCTTAATGATTCGCATAGTGTATTCAGCGCAACTCACGAGGTGGATTATGATCAAGAAGGTAAGACAAACTTGTTTGTTTGCATATTTACGTTTTTCTATTGGCTTTCTATTTGTTATCATTATAATTTTTTACACTGCGTTGTGTTGAACGATGCAATTACATTAAGGAAAACGAAATAAACAATTTCGACGTGTTTCTTTTGCGTATCGTCACGCAGGAGCATTTTTCTTTCTTTCTGGTATCTCAAAAAAGTCAGTTTTCAAAATATGAATGGTTGATATATTTTTAATGAGGAGTTTTAGCGTCAGATTACTTGCGAAAATTTCCGTGGTAAAAATTCACAGGCATCATCTGGCGAAAAATAACAAGTTCGCTTAAGTGATGATTCGTATCGCTTTCGTATTTCGCCAGTAACTTGTAATAAAGATTTAAAAGTACGAAACGTTGTGCTTGCCGGTATCACAGTGCATCGCATTTTATGACAGATTCGCTCAGTAAGACTAAGGCAAATTCCGTCACGTTAAACCATCGGAGAGGCAGCGACTCGATAGACGTGATAACGTTAAACGACGACACGGACAGCGACGCGCAGACGACAACGTTAAGCACAACGAGAGTAAATACGATCGCGAAGAATTCGTTGATGTCTGCCTGGAAGGATGAAATGGAGCTCAGAAGTGATTTCAGTTCGAACGACACCGAGGAGGACTCAAACCTTCCTCGTACGCCTGTTAGACCAATTATCACGAAAAAAAGTATGACGACTGGTCGAATTGCTAGAAAGAATGCAATTAATAAAGGCACGCCCGTAATAGGACGTTCTATTCAAAGAGCCAATTCAAGCCAACGAATCAAATTGTTCACTACTGGCAAAAAGAAATCTCAGAAATATCATTGGTCTGGTACCTTCTGTACTAAAGAGAGTCCGAAAGATATATATTGTACTTCATATTATTTGCCTGACGACAAGAAACTGCATAATATGAATGATCAGCTAGCAAATTATAATTATTATTGTGAGAACTTTCTGAAAAAGAAACCCGCGAGAAAGGAAGATATTTTCTATCCGAATAAATTTGATCCGCAAACTAGCAATGATTCGCGGAACGAGCAGATATTGGACGACAATATTGGCTGTCAACCTTGTATCGACATTTGCACTGACAATTTCGAAGAATATAATTATTTTAAAGATTACGATACTCATCAGGACAGCAGCACACCGACAATATTTTCTGACGTTAATATAAATTTAAGACAAAGAAAAATGATGGACGTAGATAATAAGAATACGAATATAAACATTAGTTCACGTACAAACGATAGCATTATTTTATATTCTCAATTTACACATGATATTAATGTTAATAGAGGAGGCGATAATTTTTGTAATGTCAAAGAATTTGTTGATCCTACGATAAATATAAAATTAAATTTCAAAAAGGTGATTCATGATACTAAGAAAAAATCTGCTATTCAATTATATTGCCATAAATTTTGGCATTCTCTGCTATTCTTGTTGAAAAATATTATTTTATTTTTGCTGCTGCCTATAATATATATCATCTTTTTCATTTATATTCAAGAAAGAGAGGATAAAAAATAAAATAATTTAAAATTCTTTCTGGAATAGTCACTCCAGAAATTATTAAAACAGTCATAACAAACAGCCTCCCTAAGTTTTTGAACACACATTAGTAAAAACAATGATTTTGATTTTATATTACGTATTTTATGTTATTATTTTTATTGATTTATGTTTATTATTATTTTTATTGATTATTTAAGAATGATAAGTTCTAGAGAGAGTAATAATCACATTTTGTATTTTTTATGTATTATGTGTGTGTTATTGTGTGAAAAACGTGTACCTATGGAATGCTATTGTATAATTTTAATTTTTCCCGGTGAAAAATGTATTCCTTCGAATTTGAGCACTTGGCTGTATGCATGTTTGAAACGTTATGAATACTAATATTTTGTGTGCCACAGCGATGTTATGTTAGATAGATTCTAATTTTTGCATTTTTCTTGCGTAGCACTCGTCGCTTATTATACAGTCTAGCTTTTTATTTTAAAGTCTTTATTTTTTTTTATTTTAAAATAGCATTTTAAATAGACGAAATCCTACAATACATATGACATTCATGTGAACATACCGTAGTTATTTTAAATCACATTATTATATACTATATTCAATATTAGCTTTTATAAGAAAATGACTATAGTCAGAATAATAATTACAGTGTAGCGAATAAAATTTCTTAGGTGCCTTTACTCGTGCATTTTAAAAATTACATTGCGTTATGTACCTATAGAAGAAATTTAATGTAATACCAGAAAACGTTACAGATTTGAGGCGGAAAAGAACAAAGTTTGAGTCACCCTACCTGAGGAGTTTCTCGTTGCGTAGACGTCTTATAGAGAGAAAACTATTTTCCGATGGTACGACAATATTATTCGATTAACAATTCTATATATAAAATAGTTTCAGAGAAACAGCTTATTTTAATGTGCACCATACTAATGATACGCGTCACATTATTTTCTCATCTCGATATCATATGCATTTCAATTGAATATATCCTCAAAAATAATATTTTTTAACGATTTGGTATTTGAACTTTTACTTACTAATGTAACGTCAGAAGTGGATTTTCTTCTCATCTGCTTGAAAAAATTTTCATTATTATCATTTTATAGTGCAGTGTTTAAGAAGCATCAAAATTGTTCAATTATTAAGACAGTTGAATCATAATCATTTGATCTTCTTTTACTGTTACTATTGTTACAATTTGAGAAACAACAAATTGTCGGATTTGTTTTACTAATATTTAGTTCAAACTATGGGAATAAATGATTATAAATGCTATTATATAGGCATATAAAAGCAATAACATCCTCACGGTATTGACGGATCATATCCTACATATTTTTCTTAAAACGCAAATATCCTGGGAGGGTAAACTCAATATTTCTTCTTTTCTTTCATGCTGTTACATATTTCTGTACTTTATTAAATATAATGTTTTATCACAAATACGTTATTTTGTTAAATGAAATATTAAATAATTTTATATATATATACGTGTATGTTGTAAACATTAAAACTATATGATATGAAGTTAACAGCGTTTATATATAAAATACGATTAATTTATATATCTTCAGAAGCGTGAACACATTATTTTATGTACATATATATATATACATGTGCAAACCGAATCCTTGTTAATATTATTTTTGTGGATTATCGAGTTAATGACAACGCCAAGGATAATTATACATAAACATGTTCATAAAAAAATTACTCAATGAGTTTAGTTTTGTATGCTCAGCTTAAGCTTCAGTTTATGTAGTGATATCTGTATTTAATTGTATTGATGTACACGTTCACATTTTATAAATAATGTTCACATTTTAATTTTGTAAGGCGCTTTTAAACTGACTGATAATAGCTACAAATAAGACATTAATACAAGCGTTAATATTCTTCCTCCGAAACATTCCATTAATTTTCACAACTATGCTTTAATGCAAAAATAGCGGCTTTTATTCATAACTTGAGCAATAAATTAAAAATAAATTAGATTTAAGCTGTATTAGGTATTATATCACACTAACAATTTACGTTTAATTAACATTGTAATTCTTGTATTTATGGGTTTCATTGCCATATATATTTATTTTTGCTAGAACGTTTGTATAAATGTATGTTACTAAACTGTTATATAATAAAAAAAAAAGGCTCAGTATTACGTCTCCGACTGAACAAATTAAAGCAGCAATGAAACTCGGTAATAAATCTATCTGTTTTGAGAAGATGCTGTAAGCTAAATACGAGCTGAAATAAAGCAAAGGGAATAGCTCCAGCGTTCACTTGTAATGCGTCATCTCTATGTATATCCGATTTAATCCTTAACTACGCTAAGCCGATGTGTCTAATGCTCTTGGGTGCTCTGACGGGTGTGCGTGTTATCTGTTGCAGCATATGCCCAAAAGTGGGAGCAGCTGTTATTACAGCAGCGTGACATTCTGAACGCGGCGCTCGACCAAGTCAGCCAGTTCCGCGGGCAGCTCTTGCAGGAGGAACAAATCAGCCAGAAGATGACCCGAATGCGCAACATCACAACGCGATACAATTAAGGATGTTACCCCTCGCGCGAAAAAAAAAGAAAAAAAAAGACAAAAAGTAATTATCTCTCACCGGTGAGAAAAGCCCGCTTCTTATGTGTGTATCGACTTTTAATTACAAGCGCGCGTGAAAAGCAGATATACCATGACACAAGTATAGTGCGACAAGTCATAGGAATGCAAATTGTAACAAAACTTCGTCTTGCCTTCGAAAATTGCTACGAAATGTACATCGACGAGGGGGCAAAGAGCTCGATTCGTAAATTTCATTCTAATGATCTTGTATCATATAACGATTCTTCTCCGAATGGTTCTCCGTAGCAAAATGATGAAAAGAGAGAATTCCGCGCAGGGAGGGAGCTGAAGCATAACAGGCATAATAACATTGATTGCTTGAGACTTCACATCAGCGAGAAATTAAGTATTTGTTTTTACCGCATTATGGATTCGTTCGCCTCGACCGGAGACGACGAAGAATTTTTTAGTCAGGATTTCTTTCGTGCCTCTTTTAGTTTGGAAAACCGTAGGAAATTTTAAGTGAATACGGAGTCGCTCGCGAAGATGGTAAACGTACACGTTTTATTTTAATTCGGAAACCAAGTTTTCACCAGTACGTAATTGCATACTTTAGAGGTGAGCTCTTACATGTTTTCGGGCCGCACCGAGACCATCGCAGAAATTTTAAGCCGTCAACGACACGTCGATATTCTCATTATACCATTTGTTCGTCTTCGAAATGCAAAGCACCATCGCGAATGATAATGCGTAAGCTATTAACGACATCAGATTAACACAATCAGTTTTTAGGCTATAGAATGCTAGGTGTATTATTACGAGGGACCCAATGTATTGTTGGATGAAGAAAAAGCCTTAGTAAGCCGATTTGCCAAGAAGAGCAGAGATATATCACACGATACATTTTGCACACGTACATTAACATATGCAGATGCATACATACCCACACATAGAGTGAGTGGTCGACTCTTTCATAAAACCAAATAACGACTGATTTCGAGAGAAAAAAGAAAGATGTAATTCTTTAGCTCATAAGAAGGAAACTATATTCAGCGGCGCTCATTCGGATATTTAAGTTTCTTAGTATTAATATCGTCGACGGCATCAAACAGTCCTCATTTTTTTCTTACATTATTAAAAATATGAGATTAAAATCTTCATTTGATTTGTCAACGCATACTCTTGTATTTTCTTCCTTACTCTACTGAATTGCACATTCGCAAAGCGATCTCGACATGCGTGCAAGCTTCACAAAGCTTTACTACTAAAATACGTCCAACGGAATATCGTCTATTTTTATCACGATTATAACGATTATTGCGAAGTTAACGTTCTCTCTATGGACACAGTTTCTTTAAGCAAAGGAGATCGCATATTCGTAAGATATAAAACAATAAATTCTCAATCTATCCTCAATCTATCTTTCTGATCTCTACATTCTCTAAGATAACATAATTGATGATGGTATCCGAATATACTGTTAATATTATAATGATATCTGGAATTAATATAAAGGTGAAAAGCAACTTTCCTTTGACGGAAGATGTAGAGCTCCTTCAATAAATCGTAGGAAGCAGAAGCTAGGCTTCGCAAACATGTTCCGCATTTATATGTAAATTAAAAAGCGCATTAAGTTTATTTTTTTTTAACAATTTTTTTAAGGCATATATATATATATATATATATATACTTTTTTTTGTATTTGTTATAATTAGATTAAAATATTTATCCTGTTATTTGTGCACAGGCCGACTAGTTTTGTTTTACCACGATTTGTTGAAGATCGTACGTTGCATTACCATTGCCGCTTGCAAGGAAATATATCTGCACTGCAATCGCACTAGACAATAGAGGATTAAGAAGATTAATTATAATACGCGTATATCGCACGGTTACATTTACGACTTGTCTCTCTTGATGATTTGATCCCAGATTTCATGTGTCCGTTTTCTGTATACGCGACGTAAAATCCCCGTGCGTGGACTCGCGAGTTAACAATCATTATCACGTATATACGCTCGATTTTGTAAATGTGTAGAGCTCTAATGACGATCCAAGAAAGATCACTCGTAAGGTTTTTCGGTCCTGTACAGAGCTAGAGATAAAAAGAGATAACAAAATAAAGACGCGCGGATAGACCGAAGTAACAGGAGCATTGATATTTCTGTGTTGACAAGTGTTTACGATTTTTTTATATAAATATATAAAATACTCATAGCGCGCGAAGTTGTAAAGAAATTGTTTAAGATTATTGTTATATTAAAAGCGAGATAGTCGCGCATGCCGCCGAAGGCATTCTCTAATTTTAATTTAGCGTACTTCGAGTGATATTTATTATCAATCGGAAGCTGCGACCGTGTTAAAGAGGGTGTTTCCCTTGACAAAGTCCGTTTCTCGCTATATATCCGACGATTTCTCGATGATTGCCGAATACGTGTCGCCTTGATTAACATAAAAACTATAAACGTTTCCGAGACAGTTCGCGGCTGCTGTAGCTCAGGCATACGAGTACTTTCATAGTCGAGTTTTATAATTTGGCAGCTTTTCTTTCGACGATCACGGAAAAAGATCGCGTTTCATCACCTCAAATATAGTATTTTTTAACAAGTAGTGGGCGTGATAGAGGGAGAGAGATGAGGCTTAGTAATCGAAAGATGTTAATATACTTCTTATTTTTTATAACCGAATAATTTATGCGGAAGGGAGCTGAGTAAATCAAACACGCGTATCCTCCCCCGTCTCTCCCCTACTCTATGTCATACTTAATGGTCGACCTCTGAACTAATTCTAATTCGATGTGCACAGAAAATTTTTGGATACGTATGAAAGGTTTCACGTTGTTGCTTTATGAATGAAATAAATCAGATTGAAAAATGAACGATCTCTCCGTCACGTTTCTCATCCTGATCAATGTCCATAAAATTAAAAGAAAAAAAAGACAAATTAATATTTTTTACACACAGTGAAATTGCATGTATTTTTGCTACACGATCTTCTAATATTTGATTTTTACACTTGCGTCGTTAGAAATATCGAAAGTTTGTTAGATTTTGCTAGTTAGATCTTAATTTCGGCGGTGTGAGACGCATCGAAGGAATTGGGGGATGGATCGTTGGAAGTTTAATCACGAGACAAATTCAATTATCGTATTCCACATAGATACACAGGTATAGGTATTAATTTTTATTTCGTACTTGGTAGAGCTGCACAAGACAACGATTACCAGAAATGCATGCGTGGACAGCACAGGTGAAGGCGCAGACGTGACCGAGTGGGTAATTTTTACACCGCCGAACGATACACACAGCTGGTCACGAAGAATTTATTCCTAAATCCCCGGCGTTTCGTGCGGACGCATTTCCTGCGTAGAGTTAAATCTAAGAACCTCGCTGAAAGCAACGAGATCTTTCATCGATACGCAGAGAACACGTGTTCGAACGTGTATTTTCTTTTCTCTCTTTTTGTGGTAACAAAGTTACGCACTCTATATACGTGAATCTGTTCAAACTAAGTCATTTATGCTAGTTTTCCATTAAGAACCTAATCCCTTACTAGCAACAACATGTCACATAACACAAGGATTTTCTATTGTCTCTTCATCATCATTATTTATATATAATATTTATACATATTTTAGTCATAAACATATATATATATAAATCTTATATGTATGACTAAAATATCATTCTGTACATAAAATGTCTTTTTCCACCATAAAGAAAAGAACGTACGAAATAAAATATATTACACGCCATGTTTGGCGGTAACGCGCGTTAAACTCCGTATATAATCTTATGATAACTATGTCTTATTTTCTCGCAAAGAAGGTGGCTGTACAGAGATAGAGGAGAACCTTGTGCGACCACCACATCATCGCTGATAGTTGCAAACACGACGCAGCACGTGAGCGACTCGAGAAATCGCGCAAGGATGAAGGAGGGGGAGGGGGGGGGGGAACAAAAAGTCCGCGGTTATCTTCTCTAATGGTACATAATGTGGAATGGATTTTCCGAAGAGACGTGCTTTCAACACGGTTAACGAGATTTAATGTATTTACAGACGTGCGGAACATATCGCGAGCCCGTTTCCAAATCGCATTTTCAATCTCTTATCTATTTATTTTTTATGGGATTTACATTAAGAGCTTTTCTATGAAAGGAACTAAGCGCTTCTATGTCAAGATCAATAAATGGATATCTGAAGCATTCTCCGAAAATCATTTATATATATATATATATATATATATATATATATATATATATATATATATATATATATATATATATA